AATCAATTATCAGAGTGTAAACTGCAGATCTCATTTTATTCATCATGCAATTATTGATTAATTTCATATTGTGACAGATTTAATGACTTCCATTGTGTTCAGGTGTTTTCTTTTACAGTCACAGAATAAATTCACAAACGTTTAGTTGTTCTTGAGTTGTTTGGTTTGAGAAACACTTCAGTCTTTCCTGTAGCAAAGCAAACATTTAGTTACCAAATATGAACAATGCCTCTACTGTGGCTGCCTTAGGATATTATTCTATTGCAAACAAATTGGGAAATGTTAGAGCTCAGAAGTGCTTTATTATTTATAATACTCAGAAAATCTCTTCTCTGCCTCACAGGTACATTGCCTCTGCTTAACATTTCAGCATTTTTACCTTCTATAATGTGAAATATCAATGTAATATCCCTTTTTAGGTTAATCTTTATTCTAGTTCTTGTTTTAACAAAAGCATTTTTATGAAGAACTTGGATTCTTCTTACATTTGGAAATAAAGTAAAAAGGTAAAAGATCCGTTTCAGTGAGTTATGAAAAAGAAACTGATCATGACTGGTAATAATAAACTACATAAAAAGACTTAAAACTAATCACTTTGTTTGTTTTAGATCTGTTAGAATTACCAAAATTTGTTCTATTGCCAAAAGCTACAAAAATCAGAGAAAGAATATGTCAGAGATTTCATCCATAATAGTCTTAAAATGTCTTAAATTTGAGTTAGAACGATAGTTTTGGTAAAAATACTCAAGATTGTGACAGAAAACAGAACAGAATCAGAAGAGAAAGCAGAAACAAAACAAAAATTCTGTCTGTCTCCCTCATTAGTGTATGAAGCCAAAGCACCTGGCTGTTTTCCAATGTTAAAATCTGGGGGGAATTCACACAGCAGTGCAATCTCCTCCACCTTTTGCATGGGCTATTTGCTTTATATCTACTGTGGATTCACAAAGCAGAAACACAGCAGATGTTAGCGGCGTCACACTTATCCTCTATGCAGTTACCAACACAGCAGATGCCACAAAGTGATCGGATACTTCAAATAAATCTCTACTGAAGAACTCACCTTTACTCGTTGACTCAGAGATAAAAAAACAAAACTTTAAGCTTGTACTAACTTAAAAAATTGGATTTGCTCTTTAATATCTGTAACTTTTTTCACCAACACAATAAAGAAATATTTGCTGGGGAATTTTCTTGTTTTGTTAAATTTGTGGATTTTGTTTAGTCATTTAGTGATTTGTGTTTTTTATTCTAATTACTGATTTATATCATGACTTGAATTTTTCTGTCATGGTGTTTAGTGTGTAAAAAATGAGAAATGTGAGTTTTTTTCCAGAAAGTCTCTGAAATGAATCTCAAAATTTCTGATGTTTTATCTAGCTAGTTTAAAATTTTTGCCACTCTGAAATTTCCATATTTTTTCAGTTTATGAGCTTTATTTCGAAATTTGAGTATTTATGCGAAATGTTTCAAAAATAGAAAATTCCATGTTTTTCCTGAGATATATTTTAAAAATTCAGATTTTTTTTCAAGCTAAGTTTTGACTTTTCAAAATTTTTTAGAATTTTCTTGCAAATGTTTAGCTTTTTAAACTCTAATATTGTAAAAAAAAAATTTAAGAGAAAAAAAAATATTTTGATCGATATTGTTTGACTTTTTGAACTAAAAAATTTCCAGATTTGTTTTATTTTCAAACCCAGGAATGTCCATATTTTGTTGCAAATTTTCAACTTTTAAAGATCAAAAATTTCTAAGTTCTTTTCTATGACATTCCTAATAATTAATTTCAAAATTTCTGACTTTTTTGGAGGAAATGTACTTATTTTTTTCTATATACAATGACCTTAAGATGCCGTCGTACAAAACAGAATCACTGCTCTGGGAGATATGTTCAATTGATTGGGTGTTAGTCATGTTGATTAAAGGCAAATGCACTATTTAAGTTTCCAAATCTCCTTCGCTTTAATTAAACTAAAGTCAAACAGCCAGACTTAAGCCTCTCTATCTCCTCGGAGCTCGCCATCCTCTGGGTTATCACAAACAAACCAGTTGGTGGAGCTCAGCCGACTGCTTTATTGCTTACAACACATCAGAGAGACTCAGGTTTGCTTTTGGGAACTTCTGAAAAGCTATTAAGACCTAAACAAATGCTGAATTTCAACCTGTCCTCTAACACAAAGTGTACCGAGGCTTATTGAAGGAAACGCCCAGGAGACGTGCGGGAATCTCTCTATCCGCTCAGACAGCGACAACTTTGTGTAACCGACTGCTGCTGATCCGCAAATAACACAGCAGCTTCCATTTCCATCAGGAAACACATTAATTACTCATCAGCACATCGTTTACCCCATCGCCCTGCTGGTCCATGTCTCACCCAACGTCTTGTCACAAACAATTAAGCCAACAAAGATGGCAGTTAATTAAATTAAATCCAGTGACGTGTCGTTTAGTTGCAAAGTCGTTGCAATTACAGAGTCTGGAGGGTGAAGAATGCGGTATTTATTGGAGAGACGGATTTGGTTTGACGTTAGAGAGATGAAAATGGGCGGCGGACTTTATCTCTGAACTTGTTCTGGTCTGAAGCATCCGCTCGCTCTGACCTCATGACCTTGTCAAATTACGCGCTCTTAAGATTCACCATTGTCAACAAAAATCTAAATTTTACCACGCTTCTAGTAGAACTCTCTTAGATAACTTGAAATAAGACAAACTGCCTGGCAAATAACTTTTCAGCAAGTTACAACAGGTTGTTCTAAGTTAACATTTACTTACGATTAATTTTAAAAAGTATTAGTTCCACTGACAGATTATTTCACTTATGAGCTGAAATAATAAGTGAAATAATAATATTTAAAAGGTTTGAACGCTTTAAAATCAGTACAGAAAAATCATTAAAGAGTAACAAAAGAGTAAAAGTAAAAAAATGTTTAGAAGGGTTTTTTAAGAAAAAAACAAAGTAAAAGTAAATAAAGGTAAAACAATGAGTCGGGTTGCTGTGAATGATTATTTTAGTAATTGAGTAGCGACTCTGGGAGGAACAAAGCTGCCGTACTCCAGGAATTGTGTCTGTCAATTTAAGGATTCTTATTGATCCTTCAAAAAAATGACAAAAACCCGTACATTACGATCAATCAATAAAATCCTCCCAGAATGAACTTAATAATTGGACGTTATGCTGTTAGCACTTAGCACTCAGCAACAACTCAGAGGCAGAAGTGAGAGCGTTGCACAATGTAATCAATCAAGCCGTAACACGGTGTGCTAAGTAATAAAACTTAACTTAACGAAGCTTCAAGGAAGATTATTTGTCTTGAGGAATTTTAATAATTGAGGAATTTGAATCATTTGAGGAATCGTTTCAGCCCGAACTATAATATAACCAAATGTGAAGAAAGTGAAGTGAAAGACAATTCACTTGAAGAAAATATCAAAAATTGTGAAGTTAATTCAAATTGATATTGGGAAAGACCAACTGAGATCCAATGAGAAATGGGAAAATAATATTTAATCTAGCTTCTTACGATGTGCAACCCAGAAAATAGAATAATTCTGACAGATTTTGGTAAACGGTTGAATTATTTACATTCCTTAAAAGTGACTCATGCACTTCTATGAGTTTTTCATTAAATTATCCATTTTACACGCGACACATTCCCATCCATAAATGTCTAAAATAAAACACATCCTTGCATCATTACATATTCCACTTACTCACAGTGCAGCTTTGCAATTACAAAGGCCAGGCCATTTTCATAAAATTGGCGATACATGCATATTTAACCCACTTATCAGTCAAATGCACAAATTGTTAATCAGTAGAGAAGGGGATTAATGAATGAATTACATGCTTTAGTGATCCCTGCTGAGAAATTTGGTGTTTTCTGAGCTCATCTCTCTCTGCTGGAAGGTCAGAGCAGAGGGTCAGCTGCAGACAGGAAAAAATAAAAAAACACTTCGGTAGCTAAAACGGCTTCATTCTGCAGGACAGGTTGGATCCCTGCCAGCATGTCGGGCTCCACTCTGGGTTCATCTATAGACGAATGGCCTCGCTAACCTTAAGACGGCCCGAACTTCATTATATGAACACATGAAGGAGCCGCCTCGAAAGTTTTCACAAAATAATTAATATAAAGGCAAACGTGGAAAATCTTTCCTGCAACTGAAATTCTGCGAGTTAAATTTTCAGTAATTTGTTTTGCATGTTTGGATAAATATTCATCCTCGTTTTGCTCTTTTTAATGAAGTATTCTAATATCCAACTTTTTTTTATTTCTTTTAAAAAACATTTTTTATGTACTCATTAATAAACTGATAAATTACTATTTTATTAAGATAAAATAGTCTGATTTTATGTCAGTATATAATATCTGTATTGTCCCAATATATTAAAAAAAAGTATAAATCGGTCTCATATATAAATTTTTTGAAGGATAATTTTATTTCCAGAGACTTTATAATTAATTTTATTTGTTGTTTTAGATATTTAAAATGTCTTCCAGCTCCAGAGTTAAATGTTCATTAGATTTTAAAGTTTATCAATCTTTCAGCATATGTTCTTTAATTTTTATTACCACTATATCACATGAAAATGGCCTCAAAACAACAACAACAATATTGTCTATTGCAATAATTTCTGGGACAATAAATTGTTCAGCAGAATTTCTTTTTTTTTTTGGAGTTGATTGTTTTCTTATTTGAGCTGCAAGATTAAATAAATTAATTTATTTTATTTCTTTATTTAGATTAAACTAATGAATGGGAATCTTTTTTGCATTTTAATGAAAGTCATATTTGTAAAACAAAGATGAAAAAGTTTATATCTGCATCAAGATTAAGCTTTGATTATATATTAGCCTGTTTCTTTAGCAGAGTGTCTAACAATATGCGAAATAGTTGATTTATTGGGATTTGTTGTGGTTCTGTATTTCATAGAAATACCAGTCCTTACGCTACAATAACAATAAACCTTTTTGTGCTTTTCTCTTCTCAAACAAATGCAGAAAGCTGCAGCCAGGAAGCAACTTGATCCCAGATGTTGTTGATGTCCAAAGGTAAGCTTGGAAATCCATTTTCTGCTTCTTTACATCATTCAAACCTAAAGGACAACTTTAAAAAGCTTCCTAAAACCTGAGGGTTCAATGGAAATTAACTCAAAAGTAAAACTTTGGAGTTTAGCCTCTGAAGACAATAAAAACAGTGAGAATGGTTAAACAATTTGTTTTTATTGCAAATTGAGCATGGTGTTTGGCTTCAGGGCGAAATGCAAATGTGGCCACAGATCAGGAAGGGAAACACATTTATTAGGTTCAAGGAAACATTGTAAGTTTGCAGCATTTTTTATCAGCTTGAATTGTCCTCTGCTGGCTCACCGACACCTATGAATTTTAGCAAAGAACAGATCCTACTTATAGCTTTTCCTTTTCAAATGTGTTCAGGCTGACAGCAGTTTTAATTTCCTTGTCAGAAGCTGAATTATGCGGCACTAAAGGTAAAGCGAGGCAGAGATCTGAAATTACGTTTGTAATAGCTATTCAAGACGAAATCACTGATAGAATACTTAGATCTAAGTTACTAAAATGGAGCTTTTTATGGTTGTTTATCCAGTGAGAGGGGAAGAAAATGGGAGTAATACTGCCTGTATCATTACTATAGTTAATAAAAATGTACAAAAACTGAAATTAAGAAAATTTATTTATTAACTGAAATGAATGAAAACAGTAATAAATGAGAAGAAACTGTAACTAATGGGTATCATTTAATAAAAACATACTGATGTTTTTGTGTTTATGAAACTTTGTAATAGTCAGTTGTAAACAATAATTTAACCTATAAGTAATAGTTAGAAAAATCCCAAACTATTATGACCCTGATCTGAATGCAGTCATTGGGATATTCTGCTCCAGTGCTGACCAGCATTTTTACTTTTTATTCAGAGAAAAAAAAGTTCTGCGTAAGCTTTGTAAAAGAAAGCACCTGAAACACTTTATGCTCACAAACAACAGCTGCCATAGTTCTCAAGCGACGTGTAGTAGCTATGGTATGAAACGTGTTGTGAGCTCATCCCTCAGCTGTAGTTGGTTTGATTTTTTTTTTCTTTTAGATATAATTTTAGTTTATTTATTAAGCTTCCCCACATTTTCTGCAAAGATATTTTTTGTAACAAGAGTGGTCACTTCATTCTTTTCCTGTCAGCAATATTGTTCATATTTGGGTTAAGTTGTATTTTTGGTCAAGAAATAATTATAATCAGGCTTGATGAGTCAATTATGCATAAAATCTTTCAAATCAGTCACATAATTAAGCCTTGCTGTCATATAAGTGTTTTTTCCCTTTATGTGTATGCTTTAATTTAATACTCTTGAATATCTTCAACCTTTTTCTGTTTCTTTAGATAAAAACAAACTAGTATCCTTGGAATGAACATAATAAAGTCTAAATATGATTATAAAATCCACGTTTGAACAAATTTCAATGCAAATATGACTCACCTGTGCTGCTTTGCAGCTATACTTATGTTTGAGAAGAAGTCAGAGAGCACAGCTGGATAGAAAGAGGGAAAGTTTAATACATTTTCTCACCTTGTGAGCTTTAAATCCCAGCTTTTTAAAAGAGTTTACATTTCGCTTTGGGTTCAGAAACGGTTGCCTGGCAGCTTCGTGACTGAATGACATTCCTGTGTCGTCAGAAACTGAAACAAAAGGCAACACTGAAAGCAGATCATGTCCTCTGAGGGGAATATTGCAACAGTTTTCTGGATGTTTGTCCATAAAATCATTTAGCTTACAGCAGAAATTCCCTTCCTGATTGTTTTATTATTACCATGAGAACCTTCGCTCCGTTTCGCAGGAAGAAAAAGCCAGAAAGAGCTCAAACTCTACAGGTTCTGCTAAAAACGCTAATGAAATCACCAAATTACATTACATTGATACACAGAATGTAGCTTTTTAAATAATTATTTATTCTCAGACGTGATCAAGTTTGAGGAAAGAATTCGCCAACTTTGGCGCTTAAAAAGTTCCTCGTCCTCCTTTCATCTGTACCCGACGAGTTGCGAAACACACCGACGTGGAACGGCGACGACTGTGACGCTAAAAACCTGTCTGAGGCCGTCGTAACAATGTGCAAGAACAGTAATGACAGTGATGATCTACAATAAATATCAAGCTACTTTATGTGCTTAATTTTAGGTTTTGTGGATCTTAAAAATGTAAGTTTGACCAATCTGTAACAGTAGGAAACGTAAACTTGACGCGGTTCACGTTAGGACAAAAAGTTCAGGTGAAATATACAGGTCAGCTTTGCAAGTTGCCTCCGACTTTACCTTGAAAGTGAAGTCAGCAGCAAAGAGCCGCAAACTGTTCTGGACTGAAGTGACGCGTGATGCTGTGGGAGAAAGGTTAAGACTCCTCAAGCTGATGTTTCCCTAAAGATTTGGCGGATATGTTTTGGCTTTATTTGATGTAGACAGGAAATCCTGGGTGAGGAAAAGAGGAAATATAAGATGTAATAAACGACCAAAGTTGGACTCATCCACCTGGACGCAGGAGCAGAAATATTGGCTTTTTGTTGAGAGCAAAGCAAACATCCTCACACACTGTCCATCCGTCATGGGGAACCAACATGGCTTCTGTAACATAAGACAAATGTTTTTGATCCCTTATTAGAACAATAAATTATCTATTATGCTCCCTTGTGGAAGATGCTGCAAAGTTTTCTGAATAAAACTCTTCCTGCCATTGTTTCCCAAACAGCCAAACAAAGCATGGATGCAGCAACTCTTCCAACGCTTTGTGAGGAAAGAAATCGAATTTCCTAACTCTCCGAAACACAATAGTGGCTGTTTTTGTTCCACATTTTGCAGAAAAAATAAACTCTTTGTCTTTCAGATTCCACCTAACTGATCCCTACACAGATCTAAAACGAGACAGCTTGGATGCAAATGAATTAAAAGTTAATCAGAGTTTGCTTTAAATGAATTGTAATTACTTGAGAAAATAACTTCTTTCAGTGATGTTTTAATAAGCTTGTATAGATTAACGGAGACTCTTAAGTGAAGAGGTGTTCAATTAAAGAACAACTTTTTTAAATTCTGGGAAATGTTTTTGTGTTGCAAGGCAATAAATCTTATGTTCTCATTTATAAATAGATTATTTATGCAAAATTTCAAGAACGCTTTGAAATCAGGCTCCAAAGCATCGTGTTACTTTGCTTTCTTATTCTAATTAAAAGCAGTGATATTATATTTTATTACTTTATAAAAGTTGCTAATTCTGTTGACAGTAATTTCTAGAATGCAAGCGAAAAACAAACGAAGCTAATAAGAATTTAAATTAGAATTTGATTAAATTATTTGTGTTTTAATTGCTTCTTAAAAGAGAAAAGAAATACAATCAACAAGAATTTCATATTTTTAAATTCATTAAATTAAATTTTTGAAGGCCTGGTACAATAATCAATACATCAATTAATCACATAATAAATTAAAACCAACTCAATAATTTGAATCTAGTTTTGTTTACAGAAACTTCATAATTCATTTTATTTGTTGTTTTCTTAATTTATTTAGTATTTTCCTGTTTTAGTGTTAAATGTTTATTATATTTTAAAGTTTATTTATCTTTGGGAATGTGTTCTTTCATTATTATATTACTTGAAAATGTAATTTTATTGTTTATCACAACAATTTCTCTGATAATTTATCATGACAGGCCAAGTCGGAAATCTAAATACTGCTTTTATTTTTGTCTAACTGCAGTTATTCTGTTCTACATTTGTAGTTTCCAGACTAAATCTATTTAGTTTTGCATGTACACTGTTTTCTTTTTCCACTTCTCTGCCTGTTGCATGCTAATGTTCCTGAAGCACATAAATAGAAAACCCATTTCCACTGATAACACTCATTAAACTGCCTGTGCTGTAAGCCTTTGTTAGTCTTTAGATACTGTACCACAGCTGTTCTCCTTTTCATCCTTTTTAATGTTATTCTGTCGTTACCTCTCCGTTAATTGGCTCGCATTGTGTCTTTATGCTCAGTCGCATCAAGCCGACACCCCGTGGGATTTCAGCGTCCAGCTTTTCCACACGAAAAACACTCAATGTTGCAATCCCTCCTTGGTTTTCAGGTCTCTTCTGACTCATCAGACAGTAGCTGTATGGTGGAAGTACAATAAACAACAACTCTCAGCCTGTATCAAACACAGATCCTCGGTTTTAGCTCGTCATCGCCCCTCCACGGACGCCACGAGTCGCCATGCATGTAATAAAGACAGTGTCACTCCGCGCCTTGATACGGCTGTCTGAGTCTATCAAGATCCAGGTTCTCTGGGGAAAATGAAAGAGTAGATCTACAGAAGCGGGACAAAATGAGATTGAGAGCTCTCTTCCTTTTATGTCGAGACATTTTGAACTGACGTTCCACTTTATTACAGCATAATGACATAAGCGCTGCAAATTCTCAAGCATTTGGAGATAAGTGGAAGGAGTCATTGAGGAGATTTTAGGCTTGATTATAATAAATTAGGATTCTGCAGAAACTCAAGCTTGATCTTCATCCGGAGAAACACACCAAGCATCCTAACCACACACACATTTCATGTGTTTGACCTCCACATCCCACAAAATCCACTCCAAGATAAAGTTATTTGGCCTCAGCATCAATGAAAGCCCTTTAAGTGCCTTCTGTGTCCTCTTTCTGCTCACCTTTTGTTTGCCTGCATCAAGCATAATACAACCGGCATCCACTGAACTTTATCTGCCCTCCCTTCACCTTCTCCAACCTCTAAAGACGAGCGCATAATGTGCTGAGCAGGTGTGGAGGACGGCGTTGAGAACGCTCCATATTCAGCTGAAATATAAAGCAGCGCCGCGGTTCAACTACACTCTCCAGAATTACAGGAAAAGCTGTCAGAGAGGTCCAGACTCTCTTCTCAATGCATGACAGATCGCCGAGATTATGCTGCAGTGAGGCAGCCCTCTGGAAAGAGCTGGATGCATCCAGGATTAATCTGCCACCATGTGAATATCGGTGTCTCTCCTCTTC